TGATTGTTCAAGCACCTACTTGGCAGGGTGTTCCTTGTGCATTCTTCAGGAAGCATGTTCAAAAGAACAAGCAAGTTGCGACTCTTAGGTACTCAGACAGATCGTGGCAAGTGAAGCTGAGGAGCTTTGAACACAGAGGAATGGCATTTCTCTCTAACGGTTGGTCCTTATTTGTGAGAGCAACTGGTCTTCGTGTAAGAGATGTCTGCGTGTTCGAGCTCATTGATAGGGATGACATTGTGTTCAGAGTCTCCATCTTCAACAGCGATGGTAAGGACCTGATTTATATTGATTGAGATAGACACTAGAAGTGTCACTTTGAGCTGTCTAAATCACCTAGAAATTCAGTATTCCTAATTTCAACTCCGTTGTTCACTTTAATATTGCTGAATCCATAAAAAGTGCACTTTTGTGTTTTTTTTCTTCCTTAGTTATGAGCCTTCCGAGATGATGAATTTTTCCGTATGGTTTGTGAAGTTCACAGTAATTAACTGCACAGTGCTGTCGCTGATGGCGCCACATCAAATCTAAATTTGGAGGTGTCAGTCACTTGTTGCTTTATAAGTTATGTTTCTGCTGACATTCTTTCTATTCTTAATCTGTTTAAAATCCTAAAAAATCTTTGAAGAAGCTGTCTCTTTGTTGATTTATGAGATAATGATTTGGGAGTTGTGAAATCTACTTGGTTACACCTTCCGGGAAGATGATGAAAACGATCATGCATACTGATATGCGATCCTTGTTAAATCTTTCCATTGTGAATTTGTGAAAAGTTTATATTGGTGCTTATGAGAATTCTCCTCTTTGTGGTGCAGGTCTGATTGAAATTGAACACTCTCAATGCCAAGAGAGCTTTTCGGAGCCAGCTTTTCATGGTTCTCCATGTCTGAGCCCTTTCACTGCTTATGAAAAAGCTAGCGGATTTGAATCGGACCATCCCTTTTTCAAAGTGGTGATGCAGCCTTCTTATGTTCGGAAATATATGGTAAGATCCCAAGTTCTATTTGTCGGTGACATACATCGAATTCAAATGTGATCGTAGTTTGTATTTTGTCTTATATTCTTGTGTTTACCAAGTTGATTTAGTTTGTGTGGGGAACCCCATTACTTGTTATTCTTCTTGAAGTGTTCATGGTATGAATCCAATTCAAATATGAATCGTATCTATACTTATCTCAAAATTGATGGCTTCAGTTATGTCGAGGAGCATATATTTTGACAATTAGGTGCAAAATTGCAGGCTTAGTGGTGATGATTGGTAACTTCCGTTGGCAAGTAAAAACGTTTGACTAAAACTCCTGAAACTAGCAAATTTTATCATAATTCCACATCTCAAGCATGTTTCTCTCGTGAGTGTATCCTTATTTCTATCAGCTTTCTTAATCATATATTGGTTGTTCAAACACCTACTGGGCAGGGCATTCCTAGTGAATTCTTCAGGAAACATGTTCGAAAGAACAAGCAAGTTGCGACTCTTAGGAACTCAGACAGACCATGGCAAGTGAAGCTGAGGAGCTATGAAGGCAGAGGAATGGCATTTCTTTCTGCTGGTTGGTCCTCATTTGTGAGAGAAACTGGTCTTTGTGTAAGAGATGTCTGCGTGTTCGAGCTCATTGATAGGGATGACATTGTGTTCAGAGTCTCCATTTTCACTAGTGATGGTAAGGACCTGATTACCATTCCTAATTACAACTCCTTTGTTCAGTTCAGTACCGCTGAATCTATAAAAAGTGCACTTTTTTTCTGTTTTTTCCTTTTTGTTATGAGCCTTCCAAGATGATGGTATTTCGTATGTTTTGTGAAGTTCTTAGTAATTCAAATGCATAGTTGCTGTCATTGATGGTGCCATATTCAAATTTAATTTGGAGGTTCAGTCACTTGTTGTTTTATTAGTTGTGTTTCTGCTGACATTCTTTCTATTTTTATTCTGTTTTCAAATCTTAAAAGAACTATTCAAGAAGCTGTCTCTTTGTTGATTGATGAGATAATGATTTGAGAGGTGTGAAATCTACCTGGTTATATCTTCTGGGAAGAGCATGAAAATGATCCTGCATATTGATTTGCGATCCGCGTTAAATCCTTCCATTTTGAATTTGTGAAAAGTTCATGCTGGTGCTTATGAGAAACTCTCCTTTTTGTAGTGCAGGTTGGATCGAAATTGAACAGACTCAATACCGAGAGAGCTCTTCCGAGCCTGCTTTTCACTTTTCTCCGTGTCTGAGCCAGGTTTCTGCTTATGAAAAAGCTAGGGGATTTGAATCGGACCATCCCTTTTTCAAAGTGGTGATGCGGCCTTCTTATGTTCGGAAATATTTGGTAAGATCCCGAGTTCTATTTGTCAATGGCATACATCGAATTCAAATGTGATCACAGTTTGTATTTTGTCTTATATTCTAGTGTTTACCAAGTTGATTTAGTTTGTGTGGGAAACCACATGACTTGTTATTCTCCTTGAAGTGTTCATCGTATGAGTCAAATTCAAATATGAATCGTATCCATACATGTCTCAAAATTGATGGCTTCAGTTATGTCCAGGAGCATATATTTTGACATTTAGATGTGAAATTGCAGGTAAGTGGTTATGATTGGTAACTTCCATTGGCAAGCAAAACCGGTTGATTAGAACTCCTAAAACTAGCATATTCTATCATAAATCCACGTCTCTTGCATGTTTCTCTCATGAGTGTATCCTTATTCTATCACCTTTCTTAATCATATATTGGTTGTTAAACAACTACTGGGCAGAACATTCCTAGTGAATTCTTCAGGAAACATGTTCAAAAGAACAAGCAAGTTGCGACTCTTGGTTACTCAGACAGATCGTGGCAAGTGAAACTGAGGAGCTACGATCACAGAGGAACGGCATTTCTCTCTACCGGTTGGTCCTCATTTGCAAGAGAAACTGGTCTTTGTGTAAGAGATGTCTGCGTGTTCGAGCTAATTGATAGGGATGACATCGTGTTCAGAGTCTCCATTTTCAGCAGTTATGGTAAGGACTGATTTATGTTGACTGAGATGAACACTAAGAGCGTCGCTTTGAGCCGTCTATATCACCTAGGAATTCGGTATTCCTAATTGCGACTCTTTTGTTCAGTTCAGTACTGCTGAATCCATAAAAAATGCGCTTTTGTTTTCTGTTTTTTCTTCCTTAATTATGAGCCTTCCAAGATGATGAATTTTTCTGTTTGGTTTGCAAAGTTCATGGTAATTCAAATGCATAGTCACTGTCGCTGATGGCGCCATATTCAAATCTGAATTTGTGGTGTCAGTCACTTGTTTCTTTATAAGTTATGTTTCTGCTGACATTATTTCCATTCTTAATCTGTATTCAAATCCTAGCAAACCTTTTAAAGCTGTTTGTTTGTTGATTGATGAGCTAATGATTTGGGAGGTGCAAAACCTACTTGGTTATATCTTCTGGGAAGAGCATGAAAACTACCATGCATATTAATTTGCGATCCATGTTAAATCCTTTCATTGTCCGTTTGTGAAAATTTCATACTGGTGCTTATGAGAACTCTCCTCTTTGTGGTGCAGGTCGGATAGAAATTGAACAGTCTCAATGCCGAGAGAACTCTTCGGAGCCAGCTTTTCGCGGTCTTCCATTGCCAAGTCCTGTCACTTCTCATGAAAAAGCTAGCAAATTTGAATCGGAGTATCCGTTTTTCCATGTATTGATATTGCCAAATCATATGAACGGAAAATTGGTAAGCCAGAGCTTTCTTCTATGCTTCGCTCATGAATTTCATGCTTATATTATGCTCGTTTTCTATCACACATTAATTGGTCATCAAACTACTATGTGAGCAGAACATTCCGTGGAAGTTCATAAAGACATACATTAGGGAAGACCAGCGAATGGTGACTCTTCTTACTTCCGGCAGATCATGGGAGGTGAAGTTCCAGGGCTATAGGCGCTTCCACATTGCATGCTTGACAGCCGGTTGGTCCACGTTCGCAAGAGAAGCTTGCTTGCGCAGAGGAGATGCCTGCGTGTTCGAGCTCATCGATAGGGACAATATCGTGTTCAGAGTCTCCATTTTCAGTAGCGTAAATAAAGAAGTGATTTGCATCGATTGAGATGAATCCCGGATGTGTCACGAGTAGGGCTGTTTACGGTGCCGAGAGGAACTCGAGAAACTAATTTGCCGTCACTAGTTCATGGCTAATTTATCTGCAGCGTGATTAATCAATGAAGAGCTCACTTTTGCTCGTGCGTGTAAATTCTCTTTGTTTCTTGGTCACTGCAATCAGAGAATGTAAATCTACTTGAACCAGAACGTTGCTGAACTTGTTTACCGATGGGTTATAAGAGAAACAGGGGAAGAAGAAAGAAAAGGAGGGAAGGCAGCTTGTGCGAGTGATTTTATGCTTCGAAGCTCGTTGTTGGGGAGTGAGTTTGTTCTCATATTTGGACATTAGTCTTGTTAGCGTTTGAAGTTTTTGGCACGGTGTTGGTTGGTCGAACAGCATCATATGCACCAAATTAGTGAAAGAGGGTGCTACGACTCTATGGAGCATTTCTGAAATGATCTTGCTCATCTCATCTATAATTTGAAGAACAAAGGTAGGCTCGAAAGAATGCCATGCCCGTCATCTCGGGGTCGTGTTTTCCTCGGTTTCTAGCTGAAGGAAGTCCTCGAACCCTGCCTTTTGATTGGAGAGTTGCAAAGAATTACTCACATGTCAATTTACTTGGAAATAAATATGTACGATATCCATATATTATCCGTTTCATGGAAATAGAGTAAAGATGGCTACACCTACATCTGATTAAAATATGACTTCACATGCCTCTTTGATGAGTGATATGTATTGATGTTTGGACTTTTTGGTTTGTAGTTCAGAAATCGTGCCTTTGTCATATGTTATCAATAACAATATTGATCCTGGTAAGGTTCTTTTATAAGAAGGTTGCCTCAAGTAAGTACAGAGGCAAATCTTACGAACCACCACCTCCTCCTTCTCCTTCACTGCTGACCCCTGTGACGCTACCGTACATGGCTTACGGTGGCCGTCGCCCGAGAGAAGATGGAGGTGTCGACCCAGATATGGCGACTGGACCTCCTCTTGAGAGTCCTCACTTCTTCAAGATCATTCTCTCCGACACCGTCGAATCTGGGAAGCTCGTAAGTTCCGCATTTTCAGAGTCTGTTTTCATATGATGCAACTCCAGTGTCCCGAGAGTTTCTGTCATGGTTTAGAACTGTCGCCCTTGTGCTGTGTACATCGCTTTTGGCTTTGTATAAACATTTTGATTCTTGCGGAAAGAAAGAAAAAACGAAAACCCTGAGGACAAAAGTGTTTAGCTTGAATTATTCTAGATAAAAATCAGTTCTTTTACTTGGGATTGAGGATTTGTTGGCCAAGGATGGCGTGGACAAAGGTGTTGGGTCTCTCTAGCTTGACTCTCGTCAGATGAAGCAACTATTACTAAAACTCAAACCTTACTTGCCCGGTGACACCCTGCTTGTGTGCAAACCGATCCTTTATCGCCATGTTGCAGAACTTAAAATTTGCTCATTGCTCTTCGTTTTTTCCTGCACTGTCGATCTAACATTGATGAATTCGAGTGTGGACCTATGACTTTTGGGTTTTTCTTGATAGGGAATACCGAAAGAATTCTTAGGAAGATATGGAAAGGATCTCTCGAGCACAGTGCTACTCAAGGTAACGGGCAGTTCGACTTGGACTATAGGAATAGAAAAGCATAACAACGGCACGTTTTGGTTGTGGAAAGGGCGGCGAGAATTTATGCAGCATTACTACATTGGTGATGGTCACCTCGTAGTTTTCAAATATAAAGGGAACTCTGCTTTTCGCGTGATAATATTCGATAAGATTTCTTCGGAGATTGATTATTTGTCGAGCAGCATATTGAACCTCAGGAATGGATTTATCTCGCCGAAGAGGGAAGATGTCATAGAAGTTGAAGATTCAGAGGGTTTCGCTCCACGTCAAAAAATGAGGGTCGAACCACATTCACCATGTTCTCAGCCGAGTCCATGCTGCTCATCACAAGATGTCGAAGGTGTGACTTGTCATTTTATGAGTCATGTTTCTTCTTATAGCGCTCTCTCCTTTGTTAGTTCTTTTTCATGCACTTGAGAACTTTTTGATAAGCTTGTTTATGTTGACTGATAATAGAATGATTTTCAATCATTCTTATTGTGGTTAAGTAGTTACAACTTATGAGGTGAAGAGATGCGAATTTTTCGTTTGGTCAGCTTATCTAAATCTTGATTTCCATGACGGTATTTTCTTCCATTCTGCACTAAATATGTTCATGGTAAGTAAATCAACTAATGAAAAGTTCAAATTGGCGTAACCTAAATATTTCATTTTTTTTAAAGAACAGACGGGGGCGGACAGTCTAGAAGCAGAGCTAGCCATTCTAAGCCGGGTTATGGTGGTTCTTTGAGTCCGTGGCCTCTCTCTAGTTTTGAATTGGCTAGCGAATTTGACTCAGAGTATCCTTTTTTCAAGGTGGTGATGCGGTCATCTTATATTAAGAATGAAGTGGTAAGATCAAGAGCTTAAATCATTACTATTCTGGCTTTTTTCCTAAGCTGATTGGATTTCTGTAGGAAACTACATAGCATATTCCTTGGATATGTTCATCGCTATTTGTTTAAAAGGGCAAAGATCCTCGACCCCTCATATAGTTCTATGAGCAGAGACTTTGACTTTTTGACTTTTGTCCTGTTAAGACTGTTGATTAGAGGTATTAAAACTACTGTATCAATTTGCATTTTGCTTGCTGGGTTCTTTCTTTACCAAGCATGGGTTGTTCAAGCATGTGCGTGGGCAGTACGTTCCTCGTAGGTTCATCATGCAGCACATTCTGGAAATCAAGGAAATCGCGACTCTTAGGCATTCAGACAGATCGTGGCCTGTAAAGCTTAGGAGCTATCCTCATTCAGTCCACGGGGCGGCGTTCTCTTCTGGTTGGTTAGGGTGCGTATGGAATGCATTCCAGAAAAGAATGGCGTTTGTTAAAAAATTTCCGGAATGCATTCTGGAGCGATTTTTGCATTCCGGAATAAAAATGCGTTTGTTAAAAATACTTGATTCCAGAATGCATTCTTGATTCCGAATGCATTTTTGATTCCGAATGAGTTTTTGGCAAGAAAAGAGAAGCTACTTTTGTAGCTTCTTGATTCCGAACGCATTCTCCCTATTTTCTTACAATTTTTTTTTCAGAAAATACATAAAAATTGAAAAATTCTAGAAAAATTCATAAAAATTTCCAGAAACTAAAAAAAATTCAGATTTTGGGAAAATATGAAATTTGGTGAATTTTTTTTAAAAAAATAAAATCAAAAATCAAAAATTTCAAAACTTCACAGAATAGCTTAAAATACATGTGGCCACCTACTTTGAGTGAAATTTAAATTTTTTGAGGTGCCCAAAAAAAATCAAAAATTTCAAAACTTCACAAAATGGCTTAAAATACCTGTGCCACCTACTTTGAGTGAAATTTAAATTTTTTGAGGTGCCCAAAAAAAAGAAAAATAATAAAAAAATAAAAACTTTCAAAACTTCACAAAATGGCTTAAAATACCTGTGGTCACCCACTTTGAGTGAAATTTAAATTTTTTGAGGTGCCCAAAAAATAAAAAAAAAATAAAAAATTTCAAAACTTCACAGAATGGCTTAGAATATCCAGCCACCCACTTTGAGTAAAATTTAAATTTTTGAGGTGCCCAAAAAAAAATAAAAAATTCAAAACTTCACAAAATGGCTTAGAATACCTGTGGCCACCCACTTTGAGTGAAATTTAAATTTTTTTAGGTGCCCAAAAAAATTAAAAAAATCAAAAATTTCAAAACTTTACAAAATGGCTTATAATACATGTGGCCACCCACTTTGAGTAAAATTTAAATTTTTTTAGGTGCAAAAAAAATTAACAAATCAAAACAGATTTCTGTTCGAGAAATCAATTTCTGGAGCAGAATTAGTCATGTTTTACCAAATAGATTTCTCCTCCAGAAATCAATTTCTGACAAGAATTCTATAAATCAATTTCTAGCAAGAATTTGATTTCTGGAGCAGAATAGTTACCATTCGCACCCTTAGCATTTGTGAGAGGAACTCGCTTGCATGTAGGAAATGTCTGTGTGTTCGAGCTAATTGATAGGGATGATGTTGTGTTCAGAGTCTACATTTTCAGTAGTGCAGGTAGGTACTTGATCTACATTGTGTGAAGTGAAACCTTAGGCTAATTATGGCATGACATGAGTTGCTAAAGATCTTCATAGTCAATTGAAGAAACGTTCACTCCAATAATGTCTCTTAAATTTCTCATTTTAACTCCAGGCAGGTACAAACGGTCTAAATGCAGAGTGAACAATCTTGAGCCGGTATTTCATGATCCTACTCCTCCGAGGCCTCTTGCTACTCCTGAATTAGCTAGAGAATTTGATTCGGAGCATCCTTTCTTCAAACTGGTGATACGGCAGGGTCATTTGAAAAAACTGGTACAATCTTTGAGCCTAATCCATCATTGCCACATCTCAATTTCGATTACGATTTCTATTTGAATCTTGCCTTAATATTGTGTTTTCCCTGGTTGATTTGGTTTCTATTGGAAACCATATGACATGATATTTTTCTTCGAGTGATTGTGTGGCATCCCAATGGTGGAGTAACACGGAATCGGGGAAAAAGAGGAATAGGAAAAACACAAGTGAAAGATGGTAATCAGGTCGGGACTATCCATTCACTTGGATATCCTTGACAAGCTGCTCCATCCCTATCGAAGTGAAAGGATGGACAGTCACTTGAATCGACTATAACCTAAAATGGCAATTAATGGGCAGTCATTTGTTTGAAAATGCATTACATTGTGGGTTAAGATCGACGGCTTCAATGAGTCTCTTAAGACGGTCGATTAAAGCTCCTGAAACTCGCAAATATGGCCCTGGATACTTTTTTTCCAAGAGTTTATGCTTACATCATTGTCCTTCTTTCAGCATAGATTGGTTGTTCAAACATGTACGCATTTGCAGGGTGTTCCCGATCGATTCATCAGGCAACATATTCAAGAAAACAAGGGAACCGCAACTCTTAGGTATTCAGACAGATCGTGGCCGGTGAAGTTCTTAAAGTATAAGAATAGAAAACTAGCGTCGATCTCCGCTGGTTGGACTGCATTTGCAAGAGAAACTTATTTGTGTGTGGGAAATGTCTATGCGATTGAGCTCATTGATAGGGAAGATAATGTGTTCAAAGTCTCCATCTTCAGATAATGCTGTTTGGAGCATCGATATAAATCCAGGACGCCTAATTATACCTCCTTCATCCAGCAATGGCGAATCGATGAAAAGGAGACTCCTTTTTTGTTCGTGTTTTCTTGCTTTTTGGTAGTAGTTTGGGTTCTATAGTTCCATATTTTGGGAAGAATCCCTTAGACTTGGCGCTTCTTTAAGGGGTTTCTGGTTACTCATCTGACCTCAAGGGTTCATATGTACGTTCTTAACCTCTTGTGTTTGACCAAAGAGTCCATGCGTTAACTTTTTGCATTCCTCGCCTTTTAACAGTATATTTATATTGTTTTATGGCAAAATGAAAAAAAAAATTGAGAAAGTTGCATGAGTAAGTGCGTGATTGTACGTGACGGATTCCTGATCAGATCATGTTTCCAATTCAAAGCAATCTCAAATTGTAGGCCACGCCATCACTCTATCGGAGGAGCCTTAGTCGATCCACATGGATGTGCCGATTATGTGCATTTAGGCCTATCCGACAAAATTGAGAAGTTGGTGCCCAAAACTTAAGAGCTTATTTTTAAGTGTTGACAAAAAGAAAAAGTTTGGCAATTGCTAAACATCTGTAGCTTCTCTCCAAATATTGAATCGTGGCCCTAATTGATGTGTACTCACCCTCTAGTTGAAAAGATTCTAATTATCATAAATTATATTTTTTATGAAATGAATTAAGTAGCCTCTTTTTTACGTGTTAGATAAGTCAATTTTTAGCTTAATTGAATCTTTTGAATCAAAACTAATTAGAGTTATCTGACGAGCTCAATAGCCTTAATCGCGGGAAAAAAGTTTACCAACAAAATGTCACGAAATGATCTACTTGAACCAGAACATTTCTGAACATATTCACTCATGGGTTGGAAGAGAAACAGGGGAACACTTATGACTTTATGGAGCATTACTGAAATGATCTTTTGCTCATGTCATCTATACCTTGGAGAACAAAAGTAGGCCCCGAAGAATGCTTTGGGCCCGTTTGGTTCGACTTTGGGGGAATGCATTTGGGGGAATGCAAATACCTTTGGGCTAAAGGGGTTTTTCGAAATGCAAGTAGCGTTTGGTAAGTGTTTTATAAAATCAACTTGGGCTAAAGGACTTTTGCTATTTTTTTTTTTTAAAAAGCTCCGGTGGAGCTACACCGCCTGCCAGATCTGGTTGCCGGCCAACCGCCGACGGCCAGATCTGGTCGCCGGCAACCACCGCCTGGGGTCGCGCGACCCCGGCGACCGCCGCCTGGGGTCGCCGGACCTCGGGCGTCGCCTGGGTCTCGCGACCCAGGCAGGCGGTCGCCGGGGTCGCGCAACCCAGGCGACCGCCCGAGGTCTCACGTATTCCTTCATTTCTAGCCGGAGGAAGTCCTTCAATCACGCCTTCTGATCGGGGGTTACAAATATGAAAATTTTTCGCGTGTCAATTTACTTGAAAATAAACGTGTGATATCCATGTTTATAACTTACCAATTTCCAAAAATCGACTAGAGAATTTTCGGTTCGTGGAAATAGAGTAACGATAACTGTATCTTGTTAAAATATAAATTCATGTCTCTTTCATATGTAATGATGTTTGGACTTTTTTGTTTGTCGAACAGAAATTCGTGCCTTTTTAGTTTTTAGGACATAAATATTATAAAGTTGTATCAAATCATCAATGACATTATTAGTGATGGTAAGGTTCTTTTATAAGATAATTGTCTCAAGAACACAAAGGCAAATCGCACGAACCGCCGCCTCCACCGCCTTCAGTGACCCCTGTGACCCTACCGTACATGGCTTGCGGTCGCCGTCGCCGAAGAGAAGATGGAGGTGTCGACCCAGATATGGCGACTGGACCTCCTCTTGAGAGTCCTCACTTCTTCAAGATCATTCTCTCCGACACCCTCGAATCTGGGAAGCTCGTAAGTTCCGCATTTTCGCAGTCTGTTCCATATGATGCAGCTCCGGTGTCGCGAGAGTTTCAGTCATGTTTTAGAGCTGTCGCCCTCGTGCTGTGTATATTCAATCTGGAGATCTTTCTATGCGTTTAGCTTTGAATAAACCTTTTGATTCTTGGGAAAAGAAAGAAACAACGAGAACCCTGAAGAAAAAAAGTGTTTAGCTTGAATTATTCTAGATAAAAATCAGTTCTTTTACCTGGGATTGAGGATTGGTTGGCTAAGGATTGTGTGGACAAAGGTGTTGGGTCTCTCTAGCTTTACTCTCGTCAAATGAAGCAACTATAACTAATACTCGATCCTTACTTGGCCGGTGACACCCTGCATGTGTGCAAACCGGTCTTTCATCGCCATGTTGCAGAATTTAAAATTTTCTCATTGCTCTTCCTTTTTTCCCTGTTCTTTCGATCTAATTTTGATGAATTCGAGTCCTGGACCTAAAACTTTTGGGTTTTTCTTAATAGGGAATTCCGAAAAAATTCTTAGGAAGATATGGGATGGATCTCTCAAGCTTGGTGCTACTCAAGGTTCCAGGCAGTTCGACCTGGACTATAGGAGTAGAAAAGGGTAACAATGGCACGGTTTGGTTGTGGAAAGGGTGGCGAGAATTTATGCAGCATTACTCCGTTGGTCACGGTCACCTCGTAGTTTTCAAATAGAAAGGGAACTCTGCTTTTCTCGTGATAATATTTGATAAGAGTGCTTCGGAGATCAATTATTCGTCGAGCAGCATATCGAACCGCAGGAGTGGATTTATCTCGCCGAAGAGGGAGGATATCGTAGAAGTTGAAGATTCAGAGGATTTTGCTCCTCGTCAAAAAATGAGGGTCAAACCACATTCACCATGTTCTCAGCCGAGTGCAAGCTGCTCATCACAAGATCTCGAAGGTGTGACTTGTCATTTTATAAGTCAAGTTTCTTCTTACTTCGCTCTCTCCTTTGTTAGATCTTTTTCAAGTACTTGAGAACTTTTTGATAAGCTTGTTAATGTTGACTGCTTTTCTAAATCTTGATTTCCATGACAGTATTTTAACTTCCATTCTGCGCTAAATTTTTTCATGGTAAGTAAATCAAATAATGAAAACTTCAAACTGGCATCATATAAAATTTCATTTTGTTTAAAGAACAGAAGGGATCGGACGGTCTAGATGCAGAGCTAGCCATCCTGAGCCGAATTTTGGTGGTCCTATGAGTTCGTGGCCTCTCCGTAGTTTTGAATTGGCCAGCGAATTTGACTCAGAGTATCCTTTTTTCAAGGTGGTGATCCAGCCATCTTATAATGGACATCATGTAGTGGTAAGATTGAGAGTTTAATTCACTACTATTTTGACTTTTTTCCTAAGCTGGTAGGATTTCTGTAGGAAACTACATAGCGTTTTCCTTGGATCTGTTCATTCCTATTTGTTTAAAAAGGAAAACATCGTCTACCCCTCATGCCAATTCTAAGAGCAGAGACTTTGACATCTTGACTTTTGTCCTGTTAAGACTGTTGATGAGAGTTACTAAAACTACTGTGTCAATCTACATTTTGCTTGCTTTCGTGAATAAGGGAATGCTTCCCCAGTCTTTCTTTATGAATCACCGGTTGTTCAAAATTGTGTGTGGGCAGAATGTTCCTCGTGGGTTCATAACGCAGCACATTCAGGAAATCAAGGAAATCGTGACTCTCAGGCATTCAAATAGAACATGGCCTGTGAAGCTTAGGAGCTATCCAAGTGGGTTGATGCAGTTCTCTTCTGGTTGGATTGCATTTGTGAGAGGAACTGGCTTGCGTGCAGGAAATGTCTGCGTGTTCGAGCTAATCGATAGAGATGATATTGTGTTCAGAGTCTACATTTTCAGCAGTGCAGGTAGAATCTTGATTTACGTTATTTGAAGTGAAACTTTAGGCTGGTCATGGCATGACATGACTTCTATGCTAAAGATCTTCATAGTCAATCAAAGAAACATTCACACCAATAATGTCTCTTGAAGTTCTCATTTTAATTCCAGGCAGGAAAAAACAGTCTAAATGCAGAATGAACCATTTGGAGCCAGTGTTTTGTGATCCCACTACTTCGAGGCCTCTCACTACTCCTGAATTAGCCAGCAAATTTGATTCGGAGCATCCCTTCTTCAAACTGGTGATACATCAGTGTCATTTTAAAAAATTGGTACAATCTTGAGCCTAATCCATCAATGCCATATCTCAAGTTCGATTATGATCTCTATCTAATCTTGCCTCAATATTGTGTTTTCCTTGGTTGATTTGGTTTGTATTGGGAACCATATGACATGCTATATTTCTTGGAGTGATTGTGGGGCATCCCAATGGTGGAGTAACGCGTAATCAGGAAAAAAAGAAGAAAAAACAGCATTAAAGACTGTAATTAGGTTGGGACTATCCATTCACTTGGATATCCTTGACAAGCTGCTCCATCACTATCTGAGTGAAAGGATGGACAGTCACTTGAATTGAGTACTAACCTAAAATGGCAATTAATGGCAGTAATTTGTTTGAAAATGCTTTACAATGCGGGTTGAGATCAATGGCTTTCACGAGCCTCTTAAGACTGTTGACTAAAGCTGGCCTTGTATGCTTTCTTTCCAAGAGCGCATGCTTACATTATTGTCCTTCTCTCGGCATACATTGGTTGTTCAAATGTCTACTCATGTGCAGCATGTTCCTGGTCAATTCGCCGAGCAACATATTAAAAAAAACAAGAGAAAGGGAACTCTTAGGTATTCAGAAAGATCGTGGCCGGTGAATCTCTCAAGATATACGCAGGGAACCCGAATGTTCTTTTCTGCTGGTTGGCCTGCATTTGCAAGAGAAACTCAATTGTGTTTAGGAAATGCCTGCGTGTTTGAGCTCATTGATAGGGATGATGTTGTGTTCAAAGTCTCCATCTTCAGTAGTGGTGGTAAGGATCAGATTCACATTGATTGAGGTGTTCATCGGACGTGTTAGTCTAGACTGTTCGAGGCGTTGATATGAATTCAAGATCCTAATTACGCCTCTTTTATTCAGCTGTGGCGAATCGATGCAAAGGAGACTCTTTTCTGTTCATGTTTTCTTGTTTCTTGGTGCTAGTTCTAGTTCTATATTTCCATTTTGGCAAGAATCCCTCAGATTTGGCCCTTCTTTAAGGTTTCTGGTTGCTCAACTGCCCTAAAGGGTTTAATATGTATTTTCTCAACGTCGTAGCATTTTGTGTTTAACCAAACCTTTTGCAAGAAAGTGAAAATACAAAGAAAGCAGTCCACGCGTTTACTTTTATGGCTCAATGAAAAATATTCGTGAGAAAGCTGTATGGCTTAGTGCTTGATTGTACTTTGCAGATTTCTGATCGAATTATGTCTCCAACTCGAAGTTATTTTGACTTGGAGGCCATGCCCCACCACTCTATCGAAGCCTTATTTGATCTACATGAACGTACCGATTTTTGTGCACTATGCTGAGAATTTAAAGATTGATTTTAATTGTTGTTGATACCTGAATTTTTCCGATGGTTTAAGTTGGAAAATTCAAGATTTGACATCCCGATTGTGGCAAGACTCGTTGTAGTTGAGCTTCTCCATTGAAATGGTATTCAACTATAAGTGAAAATGCTCCAACGAAGTTGTGAAATATTTTTTGAGGAAAAGCTGCTTGAATCTGTAGATGCAGATGCATCTACATACGTTCAAACCACAACAGCATCTTCAAATCATTTATACTACTCTTATTTCGTGAAATTTGAATCTAAAATTGCGAGTAACTCTGGTGTCGTTTTGTTTTGTGCATTGTTCTCATAGTGAAATACTGGCTGGGATGCATTTGTGAGAGGAACTCGCTTGGATGTAGGAAATGTCTGCGTGTTCGAGCTAATTGATAGGGATGATGTTGTGTTCAGAGTCTACATTTTCAGTAGTGCAGTTAGGTACTTGATCTACGTTGTGTGAAGTGAAACCTTAGGCTAATTATGGCATGACATGAGTTCAATGCTAAAGATCTTCATAGTCAATTAAAGAAACGTGCCCTCCAATAATGTCTCTTAAATTTCTCATTTTAATTCAAGCCAGGTACAAACGGTCTAAATGCATAGTGAACCATTTTGAGCCAGTATTTCGTGATCCTACTCCTCCGAGGCCTCTTTCTACTCCTGAATTAGCCAGAGAATTTGATTTGGAACATCCTTTCTTCAAACTGGTGATACGGCAGTCCATCATTGCCACATCTCAATTTCTATTTCGATTGCTATCTGAATCTTGCCTCAATATTGTGTTTTCCCTGGTTGATTTGGTTTCTATTGGAAACCATATGACGTGATATTTTTCTTCGAGTGATCGTGGGGCATCCCAATGGTGGAGTAACACGGAATTGGGAAAAGGAGGAGTAGGAAAAACACAAGTAAAAGATGGTAATTAGGTCAGGATTATCCATTCACTTGGATATCCTTGGCAAGCTGCTCCATCCCTATCCAATTGAAAGGATGGAGTAATGGACGGTCACTTGAATCGACTGCTAACCTAAAATGGCAATTGATGGGCAGTCATTTGTTTGAAAATGCTTTACATTGCGGGTTAAGATTGACGGCTTTAATGAGCCTCTTAAGACGGTCGATTAAAGCTCCTGAAACTCAGAAATATGGTCCTGGATGCGTTTTTTCCAATAGTGTATGCTTACATCATTGTCCTTCTTTCAGCATAGATTGGTTGTTCAAACATGTACGCATTTGCAGAGTGTTCCCGATCGATTCATCAGGCAACATATTCAAGAAAACAAGGGAACGGCAACTCTTAGGTATTCAGACAGATTGTGGCTGGTGAAGTTCTTAAGATATAAGAATGGAAAGGGAGCATTGTTCTCTGCTGGTTGGATTGCATTTGCAAGAGAAACTCATTTGTGTGTGGGAAATGTCTGCGCGTTTGAGCTCATTGATAGGGAAGATAATGTGTTCAAAGTCTCCATCTTCAGATAATGCTGTTCGCAACATCGATATAAATCCAGGACGCCTAATTATACCTCCTTCATCCAGCAATGGCGAATCGATGAAAAGGAGACTCCTTTTTTGTTCGTGTTTTCTTGCTTTTTGGTAGTAGTTTGGGTTCTATAGTTCCATATTTTGGGAAGAATCCCTCAGACTTGGCGCTTCTTTAAGGGGTTTCTGGTTACTCACCTGACCTCAAGGGTTCATATGTACGTTCTTAACCTCTTGTGTTTGACCAAAGAGTCCATGCGTTAACTTTTTGCATTCCTCGCCTTTTAACAGTATATTTATATTGTTTTATGGCAAAATGAAAAAAAAAATTGAGAAAGTTGCATGAGTAAGTGCGTGATTGTACGTGACGGATTCCTGATCAGATCATGTTTCCAATTCAAAGCAATCTCAAATTGTAGGCCACGCCATCACTCTATCGGAGGAGCCTTAGTCGATCCACATGGATGTGCCGATTATGTGCATTTAGGCCTATCCGACAAAATTGAGAAGTTGGTGCCCAAAACTTAAGAGCTTATTTTTAAGTGTTGACAATCTCAAGTGTTAAATAGAAAGAAAAAGTTTGGCAATTGCTAAACATCTATAGCTTCTCTCCAAATATTGAATCGTGGCCCTAATTGATGTGTACTCACCCTCTAGTTGAAAAGATTCTAATTATCATAAATTATATTTTTTATGAAATGAATTAAGTAGCCTCTTTTTTACGTGTTAGATAAGTCAATTTTTAGCTTAATTGAATCTTTTGAATCAAAACTAATTAGAGTTATCTGACGAGCTCAATAGCCTTAATCGCGGGAAAAAAGTTTACCAACAAAATGTCACGAAATGATCTACTTGAACCAGAACATTTCTGAACATATTCACTCATGGGTTGGAAGAGAAACAGGGGAACACTCATGACTTTATGGAGCATTACTGAAATGATCTTTTGCTCATGTCATCTATAGCTTGGAGAACAAAAGTAGGCCCCGAAGAATGCCTTGTCCTGTCGACTCAGGGTCACGTTTTCCTTCATTTCTAGCCGGAGGAAGTCCTTCAATCAGGCCTTCTCATCGGGGGCTATAAATATGAAAATTTTTCGTGTGTCGATTTACTTGAAAATAAACATGTGATATTCATATTTATAATTTACCAATTTCCAAAAATCGATTGGAGAATTTCCGGTTCGTGGAAATGGAGTAACAATAACTATATCTTGTTAAGATATAAATTCATGTGCCTCTTTCATATGTAATGATGTTTGGACTTTTTTGTTTGTCGAACAGAAATTCGTGCCTTTTTAGTTTTTAGGACATAAATATTATAAAGTTGTATCAAATCATCAATGACATTATTAGTGATGGTAAGGTTCTTTTATAAGATAATTGTCTCAGGAACACAAAGGCAAGTTCGCACGAACCGCCGCCTCCACCGCCTCCTCCTCCTCCGCCTCCAGTGACCCCTGTGACACTACCGTACATGGCTTGCGGCCGCCGTCGCCGGAGAGAAGATGGAGGTGTCGACCCAGATGTCGCGACTGGGCCTCGTCTTGAGAGTCCTCACTTCTTCAAGATCATTCTCTCCGACACCCTCGAATCTGGGAAGCTCGTAAGTTCCGCATTTTCACTGTCTGAATCATATGATGCAGCTCCGGTGTCGCGAGAGTTTCAGTCATGTTTTAGAGCTGTCGCCCTCGTGCTGTGTATATTCAATCTGGAGATCTTTCTATGCGTTTAGCTTTGAATAAACCTTTTGATTCTTGGGAAAAGAAAGAAACAACGAGAACCCTGAAGAAAAAAAGTGTTTAGCTTGAATTATTCTAGATAAAAATCAGTTCTTTTACCTGGGATTGAGGATTGGTTGGCTAAGGATAGTGTGGACAAAGGTGTTGGGTCTCTCTAGCTTTACTCTCGTCAAATGAAGCAACTATAACTAATACTCGATCCTTACTTGTCCGGTGACACACCCTGCTTGTGTGCAAACCGATCTTTCATCGCCATGTTGCAGAATTTAAAATTTTCTCATTGCTCTTCCTTTTTTCCCTGTTCTTTCGATCTAATTTTGATGAATTCGAGTCCTGGACCTAAAACTTTTGGGTTTTTCTTAATAGGGAATTCCGAAAAAATTCTTAGGAAGATATGGGATGGATCTCTCAAGCTTGGTGCTACTCAAGGTTCCAGGCAGTTCGACCTGGACTATAGGAGTAGAAAAGGGTAACAATGGCACGATTTGGTTGTGGAAAGGGTGGCGAGAATTTATGCAGCATTACTCCGTTGGTCACGGTCACCTCGTAGTTTTCAAATATAAAGGGAGCTCTGCTTTTCTCGTGATAATATTCGATAAGAGTGCTTCAGAGATCAATTATTCATTGAGCAGCATATCAAACCTCAGGAGTGGATTTATCTTGCCGAAGAGGGAGGATATCGTAGAAGTTGAAGATTCAGAGGATTTTGCTCCTCGTCAAAAAATCAGGGTCAAACCACATTCACCATGTTCTCAGCCGAGTCCAAGCTGCTCATCACAAGATCTCGAAGGTGTGACTTGTCATTTTATAAGTCAAGTTTCTTCTTACTTTGCTCTCTCCTTTGTTAGATCTTTTTCAAGTACTTGAGAACTTTTTGATAAGCTTGTTAATGTTGACTGATAGCATAATGGTTTCGGTAATGCTTATTGTGGTTAAGTAGTTACAGTTTCTAAGGTGAAGGAAGCGAATTTTTCGTTTGGTCAACTTTTCTAAATCTTGATTTCCATGACAGTATTTTAACTTCCATTCTGCACTAAATTTTTTCATGGTAAGTAAATCAAATACTGAAAACTTCAAACTGGCGTCATATAAACATTTCATTTTGTTTAAAGAACAGAAGGGATCGGATGGTCTAGATGCAGAGCTAGCCATCCTGAGCCGAATTTTGGTGGTCCTATGAGTTCGTGGCCTCTCCGTAGTTTTGAATTGGCCAGCAAATTTGACTCAGAGTATCCTTTTTTCAAGGTGGTGATCCGGCCATCTTATAATGGACATCATGTAGTGGTAAGATTGAGAGTTTAATTCACTACTATTTTGACTTTTTTCCTAAGCTGGTAGGATTTCTGTAGGAAACTACATAGCGTTTTCCTTGGATCTGTTCATTCCTATTTGTTTAAAAAGGCAAACATTGTCTACCCGTCATGCCAATTCTAAGAGCAGAGACTTTGACATCTTGACTTTTGTCCTGTTAAGACTGTTGATGAGAGTTACTAAAACTACTGTGTCAATCTACATTTTGCTTGCTTTCGTGAATAAGGGAATGCTTCCCCAGTCTTTCTTTATGAATCACCGGTTGTTCAAAATTGTGTGTGGGCAGAATGTTCCTCGTGGGTTCATAACGCAGCACATTCAGGAAATCAAGGAAATCGTGACTCTCAGGCATTCAAATAGAACATGGCCTGTGAAGCTTAGGAGCTATCCAAGTGGGTTGATGCAGTTCTCTTCTGGTTGGATTGCATTTGTGAGAGGAACTGGCTTGCGTGCAGGAAATGTCTGTGTGTTCGAGCTAATCGATAGAGATGATATTGTGTTCAGAGTCGACATTTTCAGCAGTGCAGGTAGAATCTTGATTTACGTTATTTGAAGTGAAACTTTAGGCTGGTCATGGCATGACATGACTTCTATGCTAAAGATCTTCATAGTCAATCAAAGAAACATTCACACCAATAATGTCTCTTAAAGTTCTCATTTTAATTCCAGGCAGGAACAAACAGTCTAAATGCAGAATGAACCATTTGGAGCCAGTGTTTTGTGATCCCACTACTTCGAGGCCTCTCACTACTCCTGAATTAGCCAGCAAATTTGATTCGGAGCATCCCTTCTTCAAACTGGTGATACGTCAGTGTCATTTTAGAAAATTGGTACAATCTTGAGCCTAATCCATCAATGCCATATCTCAAGTTCGATTATGATCTCTACCTAATCTTGCCTCAATATTGTGTTTTCCTTGGTTGATTTGGTTTGTATTGGGAACCATATGACATGCTATATTTCTTGGAGTGATTGTGGGGCATCCCAATGGTGGAGTAACGCGTAATCAGGAAATAAAGAAGAAAAAATAGTAGCAAAAACTGTAATTAGGTTGGGACTATCCATTCACTTGGATATCCTTGACAAGCTGCTCCATCACTATCTGAGTGAAAGGATGGACGGTCACTTGAATTGAGTACTAACCTAAAATGGCAATTAATGGCAGTAATTTGTTTGAAAATGCTTTACAATGCGGGTTGAGATCGATGGCTTTCACGAGCCTCTTAAGACTGTTGGCTAAAGCTGGCCTTGTATGCTTTCTTTCCAAGAGCGCATGCTTACATTTTTGTCCTTCTCTCAGCATACATTGGTTGTTCAAATGTCTACTCATGTGCAGCATGTTCCCGGTCAATTCGCCGAGCAACATATTAAAAAAAACGAGAGAAAGGGAACTCTTAGGTATTCAGACAGATCGTGGCTGGTGAATCTCTCAAGATATACGAAGGAAACCCGAGTGTTCTTTTCTGCTGGTTGGCCTGCATTTGCAAGAGAAACTCATATGCGTGTAGGAAATGCCTGCGTGTTTGAGCTCATTGATAGGGATGATGTTGTGTTCAAAGTCTCCATCTTCAGTAGTGGTGGTAAGGATCAGATTCACATTGATTGAGGTGTTCATCGGACGTGTTAGTCTAGACTGGTCGAGGCGTCGATATGAATTCAAGATCCTAATTATGCCTTTTTTATTCAGCTGTGGCGAATCGATGCAAAGGAGACTCTTTTCTGTTCATGTTTTCTTGTTTCTTGGTGCTAGTTCTAGTTCTATATTTCCATTTTGGCAAGAATCCCTCAGATTTGGCCCTTCTTTAAGGTTTCTGGTTGCTCAACTGTCCTAAAGGGTTTAATATGTATTTTCTTAACGTCGTAGCATTTTGTGTTTAACCAAACCTTTTGCAAGAAAGTGAAAATACAAAGACAGCAGTCCATGCGTTTACTTTTATGGCTAAATGAAAAATATTCGTGAGAAAGTTGTATGGCTAAGTGCTTGATTGTACTTTGCAGATTTCTGATCGAATTATGTCTCCAACTCGAAGTTATTTTGACTTGGAGGCCATGCCCCACCACTCTATCGAAGCCTTATTTGATCTACATGAATGTACCGATTTTTGTGCACT